CCCAGCATGGCCACCCCAAAGCCACTGAGCCACTTCTTGGTGTTCTCCCTGAACAGCAGTGCTGTGGACTTCAGGCCAATCACAGCGTCATCTTTTTTGTCCTAATATCAGGAATAGGAAAGTGCATTTTGATATTTAATTCAGTAGCATGGAAATCACTTTTTTTTTTTTTTTTTTTTTTTGGTTTTTCGAGACAGGGTTTCTCTGTGTAGCTTTGGAGCCTATCTTGGCACTCGCTTTGGAGACCAGGCTGGCCTCGAACTCACAGAGATCTGCCTGCCTCTGCTTCCTTCAGCAAATCCTTCTGGCCTGCACCACCAGAGCCAGTGGAAATCACATTTCTTAGGTATTCAGCTTAGCTTTTTTTCTATATTTACAAGGTCACACAACTACCTCAGCTCTCTAACCAAGAGCACACATGTTAAAAAACATGGCACTACACCACAAGCTATAAAACCAGATGCCCAGCAAATCAGCAGGTAAAAGGACCATCAGACCACATTCTATACAGTCAGCAGTTGGCTCCATGTGCCACTCAATTCCTAGGACCCATAATGACCTGGGGTTCCACTTCTACGACATTAGGACTAAAACTCACTATTTAGATTCTAATGTCATTTATCTAATTTTTGAGACAGAGTCTCTCCACATAGCCCTGGCTGCCCTGGAACTTGCTGTGTAGACCAGGCTGATTTTGAACTCACAGGGCTCCATATCTGCCTCTGCCTGCTGGGTGCTGGATTTAAAGGTGTGTGCCACCACATCTGGTTTCAAGCCTTTATTCTTTACTGAGCTCCATTCCTCCAGAGTCCCCCATTCTTGGTTTCAGTCTTGCTGGTGTCACCAATACAGAGATGCTGCTCCCTGCATGACCACACCCAGCCCTTTCCACTCAGCCCAGTTGGCTCCTTCATGTGGAGCTAGGTACTGAGGACTCTGATGATCTCCCTGTCACTGTCTCCTCTAACTAGCGCACACATACACATAGGAGTTTATAAAACATTTATAACTGTATCCTGACCAGACACACAAACAGTAACTAATAGATGTGGGGAATGTATTAATCATTTCATAATGTGTACGTATGATGAAACATCACTTCATACAGACTGAACGTAAACAATGTTTCTATTCACTGGACTTCAGGGAGGCTGGCAAAACTATAAACATAAAAGGTCACAAATCAAGAAAGACAACAAGAGGAATCCCAAACAAACTACACAAGGAAATACTAAGAGAGCTGTAAGATGCTTTCTCCTCTGAGTAAATACTCCTTTAAAACAAGATGTAATTTATGTGTTTGTGTCTGTGTGTCTTCTGTGTGTGGGTGTCATGGAGACCAGCAGGGAGTATCAGATCCCCAGGAGTTGGAATTACAGGCAGTGTGAATCACCAGGTGGGTGCTGGGAACCAAACTCTGGTCCTTTCCAAAAGCAGGGAGTACTCTCAAAAGCACTCTTCTTGAAGTTTTACTCATACACCCACATGTATGGAGTGTTAAGATGAGAATATTATTATAATTGTCAAAACTCACTAACAGCTTGGTTTAAATATAACATATTATATTTAAAACTGTGATGTCATTCCATCAAGGGACTATTAGATGTATTCAAGTGACAATAACCAAGAATGGATAAAGAAATGCAAATGGCCAAATATGATGGCTTATGCCTGGGACCCAGCATTTGAAGCTGTGGCGGAAGTGCTCAACAGTCTTCTGCCAACACATGAGACCCGGTCTCAAAAACAATAAAAACTAAACTAAACAAAGGAAGAGCTGAAAGTCTGCCTAATATGATGACACAGACACAGGTGCAGAGCAAATAAAAGTATGAAATATGGAGACCATCTGAGCTTGAATTTCAGCTCTGCTCCCCACTACCCAGAGAACCATGGGAAGTTACTTATAAAACAGGGACAAACAAGATCCCCTCTGTGCAGATTGTTAGGGGGTTAACGTAGTATTTGTAAAATATTTAAAATGGTGCCTGGTACATAGTAAATATTATTTCAATGCTTGTGAATAAAACAGAATAAGCCAGGTGAACTGCTGAGTGAACAACTGTAAAAATGAACAGAGATATTTTGTTGAATGAGGGGAACTGGGGATGGTTTCTTATTTAGGGAATAATGACTTTCCTTTCAATTTGGTTCTTTAAAGTCACTGTTCAGATCAGTAATCCCATCTCAGGGAGTAGAGGCAAGAGAATCAGGAGTACAAGGTCATCCTTGACTACACAAGTTCAAGGCCAGCCTGAAATGTTGCCTCAAAAAACCAAAACCAAACCAAAGAAAGAAACAAAAAGTGTTCTTAGAAAGAAACAGCAGCCAAACCAAAGTTAAGAAAGATATATTACTTCTTTACCTGATGGGCATAAATAGTATCATATATCAGTGTCCACATAACTCCAGAAAAATAAAGAGGCAGGCATACAGCTGGGTCACAGGAGCCCTTGATAGCAGACCATCCAAGTAATGCACCCCAATTAAAAGTCAACCCTACAATCGGTGAGACAGGAAGAGGGGAAGAGGAATGTACGTCAGCACTGCACAGGAACATGGCAGGTGGGCAGGACAGGTCAAAGGCTCACTACCGTCAGGCCCTGAGACGCTGCCTTGTGTCCTTCACAGAGTCTTCTCAACCTCTTGTGGTTGGTACTTATTTATTTGTTCCATCTTACAAAAAACAAAATAGGAACAGAAAGTTTAACTAGTAATTAAAATACGATAGCTGATAAAAAGAGTAATATCCTTTAATAAGGTAACTAAGAAGTTTGTGCCTGGCAGAGCCAACAAACTGCGTGTGCTGGGGTTGGAACACCTACCAAGCTCAAAACCTGTGTTCTTCCAGCCTCACTCTACCTCCCCCCTTTCAACTGTGGGAACAAGAGTATAGACAGAACACTTACTTATTCTGCAAGCACAGCCTCTGTGAGGTCTGTAAACCCATCCACAGGCTGACAGTACCTACATCCTACCTGCAAGGCTTGTCACCTCTTAGGCTCTAGGCTCCAGACTCAGCCTTCTGCTGGACACCTCTGCCTACAAATCTCTCAGGACTTGAAGTGCAGTGTCTGAAGGCATTCTGCAGAGACCTTTTTCTTTTCTTACAGTGTCTGTTCCCACTGGGAACTCCCTTCCTGTACTGAGAAAGCGCCTCTCCTCTGTAGTCCCATCACATTTATGTTGTGATTTGCCACACTGTACTTCAATAACCTGCCTATCTGCTGTCCTCTAGCTCCATAAAAATGGTGACTGTGTTTAAGTCACATTTATCTTCTGAACACCTGTTGTGATTTCTGACATAAGTACAAGCAGGGTCTCAATAATTGTTTAAACTACACCAACTGTAATATATTGGTCTGAAGGTAGATGCTTATACTCTTTTTACCAAAAGATTTCCAGATCCATTGGAACATTACTTTCTAGCTTAAAAAAAAAAAATGAAGAGAAAGACAGAGAGAGAATATCCAATGAGGGGATAAATATTCAGTCACAACTTTCCCACAAGTCAAGCCCTCATTACCCCATGAAATCTCTTTTGATTATTTTATTTACTGGAAAAATGGCTCATAGAATTAGAATCAGCCTAGGAATGATTTAGAATAATTTAGAAATAGGAAAGAATAGTCTGGAAGTAGTTTCTGATCTGGCCATCTACCTACCTCCTGTTCACGGAAAAACACTGTCTAGAGTGCTTGCTCTGTGTAATGCTGATGGTGGGCTATACATAAAGATGCTTCTTAGTCGCTCACAGTTTATTAACGGAGAGACAGAGAAGCACAAATATATTTTTTGTTGAAGTTTAAGAGTGGGAGCTATGGGAGCCATCAATTTTAGCCTTTGTTTGCCTCAGAACTGCTTCCTACCTCACTCCTGAACACCTTAGGATGCCCCAGTCAACTGTCTTTTCATGACGTCTAGGATTTTAAAAGGCACTTCAGAGAAATAATAACCCTCATGATTTTAATAAATACATAGGATTTCCTAGCCAATGAGAATAAATAATTAGTCCTTTAAAGTATGAAAATTTATTTTTCAGCAAACTTGATGACAGACTGTCCTCTGACCCCTACATACTTGCCATGGCTAATCAACCCATATTTACACATATGAATAATACACACACACACACACACACACACACACACACACACACACACACACACAGGATATAAAAACATTGTTGATAGTGTGAAGGGAAATACTTTGCTGTCTCAGTCTTACCTAAGGCTAACTGAGGCCAGAACGTGATTCTTTTCATTAGTGGGTAGGTGACGACAAGAAGTAAGGATGCTGCGCCCATGGCTATACTGGAAACAAAAGAATGGGATTAATGTCATCACTAGAAAACATTAACTATGTTTAATTGCAAGGTATTTTTGTCTTAAGTAATATTTCTGTGAAATTCTTTGCAAGAGTTTGAGTTTACCTACTACAGAAGATGATCAGAAAAGTGTTTCAAATGTCACAAAACAATAGCTACCCAACACGGTGTTTTCATGGATTAGGTACTATTGTAAGTGCTTCAATTCTGTCCATTCATTCTATGAGCTGTGCTATTTAGACTGACAACAATAGGCCCTCACACTTTTATATTAATTACAGACTCTGGGAAAGACACAGTTCCTCTTTGTGTTAACTGAGTCTAACTTCTGCTGCTTCCAGGTACGAGAGTAAAATTACACATACCAATGGCTGTCTATATACTCAAGAACTCGGGGATGGGCCTGTGTCCCATCAGAGCATTAGAGCAAACACTAAAGGTACTTCAAACCAAGCTGGTCTGCTTGCTTCTCTGCTGAAGCATTCCTGAATCTGACAGTATGGCGAGTTCCTTCACTCTTCCTAACCCATGCTGCTTCACAAGAATCAACAGATTCATAATAAAGAGAGAGAACTCTACTTTATTTCCACATCAGAGGAGATACTTTGACATAACTGCAACCACATCTAATGTACCTGTAGTAGTTCAAGCACAGGAGAACTCCCAGTGCCAACGTCAGCTGTCCCCCAAGGAAGACGAAGGACTGGAAGGTTGAAATGTCTCCAGCGGCAATAGGGCGATTTGCTGTTCTCATAACCTCAACATAGGAAAATAGACACCTTAAGCTCATGCACCAATTCAATTGTTCATTTAAACACTGACTCACAGATGGGCTAGGGAGATGGTTCAGGGGGCCAGACATCTGTCTCCAAACCTGACAGCAGGAGGTAGAGCCTCAGAACCCACATGGGGGAAGGTGAGAAATGCCTCTTCCCAGTTTTTCTCTGACCTCCACTCACATGCAGTGTTTATTTAACCCCATACATGCTCATACAAATGAATCAATGTTATTTTAAAATTAAAGTGAGGGTTGAAGAGATGGCTCAGCAGGCAAGGGCACTGGCTGCTCTTCCAGAGATCCTGAGTTCAATTTCCAGAAACCATATGGTGGCTCACAACCATCTATAATAGGATCCAATGCCCTTTTCTCGCATGCAGGTGCATATGCAGACAAAAGCACTTGTGTACATAAAATACCTAAACAATTAACCATTCTCACCTGGTCCGCAGCCATTTAGTCCCAAGTAAATACACAGATGCTTAGATTAATTACAAACTGTTTGGCCAATGGTGCAGGCGTCTTACTGGCTAGCTCTCTTAATTAACCCATAACTAGTAATCTATGTGTTTCTACATGGCCTTATCTTACCAGAGAAGGCTCCAGCATGTTACTCCTTCAGTGGCTACATGGTGTCTCTCTCAAGACCTCTCTCTGCATCCTCTCCCCAGAATTCTCCTCATCTCATAGCCCTGCTTATACTTCCTGCCTGGCTACTGGACAATCAGTGTTTTATTTATCAACCAATAAGAGAAACATATATACAGAAGGACACCCTCCATCAATAGATGGCATATTAAAGCCCCAGGCAGTGAACATCATCTTAACGGCAGTGAAACACCTGTGCTGTGTTGAATGCCAATACACAACCCAGATTCTTAGAGAAAATGGAAAAGGTTGGCTGGATTCATTATTTCTTAATAAAGCTTTCTTTCTGAGATGACTGCATTTAAGAAATGAAGCTGGAGCAATGGCTCAGTGGTTAAGAGCACTGGCTGCTCTTCCACAAGACCCAGGTTCAATTCCTAGCACCCACATAGCAGCTCATAATTTCCTGTTAACTCCAGTTTCAGGGGATCTGACACCTTCACACAGACATATATGAAGACAAAACATGAATGCACATGAAATAAAAATAAATTTTTTAAAAGAATATGGAAATCCCATATACCCTAATCATCTCTTCCATTAATGACATCCTGGGAAACTATAAGAGCCAGAATTTTGACATCAATGCAGACAAAACCTATTAATACTCCTACCTACCACAAGGATCTCCATGTTCCCTGTGAAGAGTCACTCTTTCCTCCCTCCATCACTCCTGATTCCTAGCAACTCGCTTATTAAGAAGCACACAGTGTGACCCTTTCAGGTTTTCTTTTCTCTTGACATAACCTCTGGAAGCACCCACACTGTTTTGTGGATCATGTATTGCTGCTGTAGTATTCCAGAGTGTACATGTATCAAGCACTGTTAACTCACACAAGAAAGGACAACTGGCTTGTTCCAGTTTGGAGCTATTACAAGTAAAACCACAAAAAACATTCATACGCAAAATGTCATGTGCACATAAGCTTTTATATCTGTAGGATGGATGAGTGTAAAGGAGTGCACCCCCTGAACTGGACAATAGGTGTGTGCCTACAGTAAACAAGCCAGGTTCCTAGTCTGAAGTACGGCTGTGTCCCTGAACCCTCCTCACCGGCAACATATGTGCTGTTCTTGGCAGCATTTACTGCTGCTATGGTTTTTCATGTCAGCCATCCTGATAGGTTTGTAGTGATACTTTATTGCAGTGGAAGTTTGCATTTTAATCAAATCTAATGATGTGAAAATAACAATTTTTATGTGTTACTTGCAATCTTGGCATGTTTTTGTTGAGATAACTCTATTCGTGTAATAATCAGATTTTTATTTAGTATTTGGTTCTGAGAATTTTTTTATACTGGTAGCCTGGTAGGTATGTGGTTTCAAAATATTCACCAGTGCATACCTTTAATCCTCCTTTTTTTTTTTGTTTTTCGAGACAGGGTTTCTCTATGTAGCTTTGGAGCCTATCCTGGCACTCGCTCTGGAGACCAGGCTGGCCTGGAACTCAGAGATCCGCCTGCCTCTGCCTCCTGAGTGCTGGGATTAAAGGCGTGCGCTACCAACGCCTGGCACCTTTAATCCTCTTTAAAGGGCCTCCAACATGTCTAAGTTGACTCTGGTGAAATCCAACATAACAATATTCCTTTTTATGAATTATATTTTCAGCATTTCTATTCAATTGCATTCAAGAGTTTCAGTCTCTCTTTAGTTCACAGACACTGACTGAGATTTTTTTTTTTTTTTTTTTTTTTTTTTTTTTTGGTTTTTTGAGACAGGGTTTCTCTGTGGCTTTGGAGGCTGTCCTGGAACTAGCTCTTGTAGACCAGGCTGGTCTCGAACTCACAGAGATCTTCCTGCCTCTGCCTCCTGAGTGCTGGGATTAAAGGCGTGTGCCACCACTGCCCGGCCTGAGATACATCTTAACTGTGGATTTGTGACACTCACCTTCCTGAAAATGTATTTATACAATGTACATTTATGCCTTTTGCCAAATTTCACATTCAGCTGTTATTTCTTTAGGTATTTTTCAGTATTTCTTACTTGAAATGCAAACATTTTATGTGTCATAGGAGTCTAACATCATTTATTTTTATTTTACTGTTTTATGTGTATGGTGTTTTGCTTGTATGTATGCCTATGGATCACGTGTGCCACTAGTGCCTGAAGAGGCCCGGAGAGGGCATCAGATCCTCTGGAACTGGAGTCACAGACAGTCGTGAAGTGTCACGTGGGCACTGAGAATTGAACCTCGGGAAGATCCTCTGGAAGAGCAGCCAGTGCTCTTAACCACTCTAATCTCATTTTAATCTTGTTTTAGTTGGGTTTTTGACTGCATTTGGCCAAGGGAAGGGATTGTGGATACTGCCTAATTCTTTCCAGATGGGATTAGAAGCTCACACTTGCTCCTTGGACTCCACCGGCTCCTGAGAAGTAGGCTTTTGTGGGTGCTTGGTTTTGGTCTGTTCTCTTCTGTGCTCCCAGTCTGCTGGCCTCTTCAGTTCCAAGAATGAGAAGGGTGAGGCAGACAGTACAGCACACTAATTAGCGTGGTCTTCTGGGGCTCCTGAGGCTCTGCCACCTGTTCCTCCAGTCCCTGTTGTTGTTTTCTATGTGATAGCTGGAGGTTAGGTTGTGCTTAGTGGGAACAAAGGGCAGTATGTCTGGTCCACCTCCCAGGGAGCAGAGTTAGACTATGTAAATAGTTACAGTGTGGGACTTTTGCGTGCTTTCTAAGGGAGATAAAGCAGCTCACTCAGTTACTATAGTAACTAAGAATAAAACAGGACACTTGTAAGAAGTATATTTTAGTAGAGAGTTCTTGTAATAACACTTGGATGGTGCATGATTTAAAACTTACACACTGAAGGTCTGGTCTTTTCCACTTAATAGTTTTGGGCTATGGCTGAGTGTGGGTAACTGGAGCTGAAAAGCAAACTGAGGGCAGGGGCTTTGGTGGAGCCAATGCTAATGCCTGACCTAGTTCATTTACACTAAGACCTGATTTACAGAAGAACATGACATGGAAAGGTTCAGGGTCAATTTCTCACTGTCCCTTCTACCTTTAACTTCTTCACCCTTGGCTCCTACATTTTAAATTACTTGTAAAATTCCAGTACATATCTGCTCTGCTGCCACTTTTCCGCTGGAAGGGAAGGGAACTGCACTTTGCAACAGCAGCTAGTCAACTGATACTTTTCATGGTGGATTTCAGTGGTATCGTGTAATGCCATCACTGTTCTGCAGAAATGAGAGAAGCTTCTGTTCCTTTCCGGGGTGAAGATACCTTTTTATCGAAGTCACGGTCCCACATGTCATTAATAGTGCAGCCTGCTCCACGCATCAGAATAGCTCCAGTGCCAAAAAGTGACAGCATGTACCAGTCAGGAAAACAGCCTGGTTCAGCGGCCAAACCAATGCTCCAGGTGCAAGGCAAGTACAGCAGCCATGTTCCTAAACAAAACCAAAAACATATGTAAAAAGAGAAAGGGACACATTTAAGTCAGATAATTGCTTCATTTGCTTAATTGCTGTCTTGGCTTCTGCTGCTGTGACAAACACCATGACCAAATGCAACCTGGGGAAGGGTTTATTTGGTGTGGCCATCCCCATCATAGTCCATCATTAAAGGAGTCAGGGCAGGAACTCAAGGCAGGAACCCAGGGGCAGGGCTAATGCTTACTGGCTTGCTCAGCCTGTTTTCCTCTACCACCCAGGACCATCTGATCAGGGTGGCAATGTCCCCAGTGCGCTAGGCCTTCCCACATCATTAATCAAGAAAATGTCCCAGGCAATCAGTGGACACATTTTCTCAGTTGAGGCTGCCTCTTCCAAGATGAGTCTAGCCTGTGTCAAGTTGACAAAATCAACCAACACCTCCCCCGCCAAAAAACCCCAAGGACACAGCACAATCACCACATCCCAAAAAAGCATAATCAAAGTAAAACATCTCAAAGGCTTATGCCTGGAACTGCAGCACTGGGGAGGCTGAGGCAGGAGGACTAAGAATTCAAAGTAATTGAGTATGGTGGCATGTGCCTTTAATTACCAGAATTTCCTTAATCCAAGAGGCAGGCAGATCACTTGGCCACATAGCAGATTCAAGGCCAGCTGGGCTACATAGTGAGACCTTGTCTCAAGAGTTCAAAACTGATGCCAGGCGTTGGTGGCGAATGCCTTTAATCCCAGCACTCGGAGGCAGAGGCAGGTGGATCTCTGTGAGTTCAAGGTCAGCCTGGTCTCCAGAGCGAGTGCCAGGATAGGCTCCAAAGCTACACAGAGAAACCCTGTTTTGAAAAACAAAACAAAACAAAACAAAACAAAAGGAGTTCAAAACTGGTCTGATACACATAGCAAGACCCTGTCTAAAAACAGAAACTTCTCCCTAACAAAACCTGAAAACACTGGAAAAATAAGCCAGGTGTGGTGGTGTACATCTCTGCACTTCAAGAGGCAAAGACAAAAGGCTCAAGTTGAAGGCCAACCTGGTCTACATATGAAGTCCTAGGCTAACCAGGGCTACACAGTGAGACCCTGTCACGAAAACAAAATAAAACCAACCAACCAACAACAAACTAATCCCATCAAGTCAAGAGAAAATAAATCTGTAACTCAAATTGTAATAAACATTTAACTGAACACATAAAAAGCCCATAAAAAGAAACAGAGAGGGGCTGGGCTCTTCCAGAGGTCCTGAGTTGTTCAATTCCCAGAAACCATATGGTGGCTCACAACCCCATTGAATGAGATCTGGTGCCCTCTGCTGGCATGGAGGCAGAAGACTGTATACATAATTAATAAATAAAAATCTTAAAAAAAAAAAAAAAAAGAAAAAGAAAAAGAAAAAGAAGGAAAAGATCAGCAGTTGAGAATGGACAAAAGGAGCTGGAGAGATGGCTCAGCATTAAGAACATACCTACTCAACAGTCGGTAAAACCTTCCTTTATTGTTGTCAATACAGTTCGTTGAGATGGTCTTTGGGGAAGGCTACTGCACTTTAGTTTTCTATCCCATACTGAGCATCTTGAAGCCATATATATGTACAAGGGGGTCTAGATTTTAATGCTTAACCAATAAACTAGATGGAAGTATATTATACAGATGAGAGACTTTACAAATGATATTTGATATTCTATTTCTAAAATGGAAGTCTTTCAACTAACCTTTGTATATCTTACCTGTTAAAGTCTAAAGGGTATAAAGACTTGTTTTGCTTGATACAGGTCTTACTGTATAGTCCAGACTGGCCTTGAATTCTAAAGAAAATCTTCCTGCTTCAACATCCATCCTTGGTGCTGGGATCATGACTGGATTGATAGAAGTTTTACTTCCTGATTTAGGAATGGGAGAGGTGAAGGGCAAGTTAAGGTGACATACACCTCTACCCCAGCACTTAGGAGACAGAGGTGGCAGCAGTCTGCATTCAAGACCAGGCTAAGCTCCTCTGTGAGATCATGTCTTAAAACTCAAGAGTTGGGGATGTGGAGTTCAGTGCTAGTATTTGCCTGGCATGACACAGGCTCTGGATTTGATCTTACATAAAAATGGTCAAATTAGGGGCTGGAGAGATGGCTCAGTGGTTAAGAGCACTGACTGTTCTTTAGAGGTCCTGAGTTCAATTCCCGGGAACCACATGGTGGCTCACAACCACCTTGAATGAGATCTGGTGCCCTCTGCTGGAATGCAGGCAGAAGACTGTATACATAATAAATTAAATAAATAAATAAATAAATAAATAAAATCTTTTTTAAAAAAATAGTCAAATCAAAGTTCCTAAAACATTTAAGCTGCTTATAGAACAGAAAAGCCACAGAAGCAATACTTCTCTAATAAAATTCCTGAGAAGTGGCCAGCTCAGGGCCTGAATTCTGGTTGCCCTGGGCAGACACACATTTAGAATGCCTTATCTAAAACATGAGCAACAGGTAACATTTATTGGATGTTCATGAAGTATTGGCCAGCAGCTTAAATATGAAAAAATATTATCAATACGCCACCTTACAGATGAAGGAACACAAAGCCAGGCATGTAAAACAATTGCTCCTGTATGCATGGGCAGAGCACACAGGGGACAGAGGTAGCTGAGGCCAAAAGAGAAAATACTTGCCACTATTTGCTTGGTGCACTAGAAATGAAGTCTCCATTAAAGAGTCCTAGGCTATATAACACCCAGAGCACAGTGTAACAGGATCTTCCTTGGCCACAAGTCCATGCTATGATTATAAGCTCACTTACTGATAGGAGGAGACTGTAGTGCTCCCTAAAGATGAGGCAGCTCTTACAGACCAAAAAGTCAGGAGCCCACCACTAGTAAGGGGGCAGATACAAGACACTAAAGTATCTGAAGGCTGAAGTCTCGATTTCATCTGACATCAAGGACAAAGAGCATCTACCTCACTGACTTTTAATGAGATGACAATACTAGGGCCGATGGTTATGAAAACAGAACTTGGGGCTAATGTGTGCTACAAGTACTCTACCAGTCTACAACCAGAATGGACTAATCAACCTATATTAAGACATATAACATACATAAGTACAGGCACAGTTTTCTCTAATTTCTAACTCCTGACATACTACTATTAATATTCTTGCGCCCCTGTCAAGTCCCTGATCACAGCACAGAACATGTGTTTATGAATTCAGGTACCCAGCAGTTCTGTGTCAGGAGCCTTCACAGAATGCTTTTGGGTCTCATAAAAAGGCAGGCATTCTCTTTATTACACTAACTGTGGTGGTCTGAAGGAGAATGTCCCCTGTAGGTGCTGGCATTTAACAAATGGCCTCAGTGGGCGATGCTGTTTGGGAGGTTTAGGAGGTGTAACGTTGGAGGACAAAAGTGTGTCAATGGAGTTTAAACACTCTGCCATTTTCCGTGTGGTTCAAGATGTGAACTCTCAGCTTCTGTCCAGCCAAGGTTTGCTGTCATGCTCGCCATGATGGACTCTATCCCTTTGGAACTGCCAGCCCAAATCAACTCTTTCCTCTGTAAGTTGCCTTGGTCATGGTGTCTTACCACAGTAATAGAAAGGTAACAAATACAAGGACTGAAAGATAGAGGGCAGGACCTACACAAAGCCACACTGGTTAAGACAGAATTCTAACCCAGCAGTCTGGCTGAACGTTAAGTCAAAAACTCTTACTTCTCATACCTAAATCTCAATGCACACGAACATTCTACTTCTTCTGCCCCTACTGATTCCCAGGAGCATTTCTTTCTGTCTTCCCTGTGACACCTTCATTCCTTATGGTTATTCTGTGAAGAAAGGTGGGCAGAGGTAGTGAGAAGCCAAGTAGGTTGCAGACAGAAATGTTTATTATGAAAGGGAAAAACTCTCTGGGAGATGAAATAAAATGGTCAAATTCTGAAAGGGGTGGGCAGAACAAAATGCCTGTGTAGACTAAGCCTATGACTCTCTAACTACGAATTTTCCTTAAGACAACATATCGCCAGTTAAGTAGTAGAGAAGGAAAAATGACACTGCCGATTTGGTGGAAAGAGTGCCACCTGCTGACTTCCTGGGGTAATACAGACTGACTGGTGATGGTGCTCAGTGGTATTGCACTTGCCCAGCATAAGGAAGGCCTTGAGTTCCACCCCTAGTGGAAAACAACAGAACTTTGTTATTGCCTTCTCAAAAACAATGATGTCTGACGCTGGTCTATGAAAGTAATCAAATAAAATACTGATACAGTAAAACAATAATTGTCTTAGTGTCTTACAAGAGAATTATACGCATTAAACCAGAAATTCCATTGCCAATTACTGCTCCTGACACACGGCAGGGGCCCAAAAGCATTTGTTGAGTGAATTCTATCCTGTAATCGTCTTATTTAGCATCAAAACATGCAAGCCGGTATCCTAAGATACTTAACACATACAACTATAAAAACAATTTTCTCTAATCTCTAATCCCCACTTCTGAAGTAACAGTGACTAATGCTAATGAAGGCATTAACCGTGCTCTTATATGCAGGCAGATTCAAGGTATTTATCGTGGTGTGGGTGGATGATATGGATCACTTTATGAAGTCAGCATTAGCACGGCCCTTTTATAGATAAAGAAATGAAGGTACAGAGAAAAGTTATTTAGCCACAGTCCCTCCACTGAACGGATGGACTGGAAGGTTCAAGTCCTCGAGGTTTGACTCAGAACTTGGCTTATAACCATTTGATAGAGTCCTGTTACACGGTAGAATGTACAGCTACTAGAATAATGTTTAATTGTGGAAGCAAAACAATGGCAGCTGTTGATCCCTCCTGTATACTTGTAAGTCTATCCTGTAGCTTTGTCATCAGAATCTAAGAACAGAATTGTAAGGTGTTTGTGTAAACACTGAATTACACAACACTCTAATAATTGCAGGCCTACCTTTCATTTATAGGCTTTTGTACTTTAATCTCTGATTACTAAAATTCAGTGCTTGAATCCCAAGCATTAGCATCTAAAATATCACAAGTAAGGCCTTGCTGGGTGTGGTGCCACTCCCAATCCCTTTGTCACTTGGAAGGCAGAGACAAGTTCTGGAGATTGAGGCCAGACTGCAGTACAAAGCCAAGCCCTTTTCTCAAACAAGGTAAAACAAAACAAGGTATGGTGGTGCATGTCTGTGATCCAAGCAATTGGGAAATGGAGGCAGGAGGCTGGCCTCTAATGGAAACCTGTCTAAAAACAAACCTGTCTAAAAACAAAACACCAAAACCCAAATAGGGACACTTTGGGGGTTCTGGATAGGAAAAGGTAGAGTAACAATTTACATACTTGGATGTACTTCTATACACTGAAACAGTACGTCTCAGCATCTAAATTAGCTAGAATTCAGCCGTTACCTTTTCCTCTTTGTTAATTACTTTCTTCTGACCCATTGTTTGGTGTTGCAGGTCAGGCTCATATTTTTAATATGTTTTTTTGTTGTTGTTGTTGTTTTCATACTTTCCTAGATCAACTGTCTTTCCTAATCAGAAAAAATTCTTTGAAAGCTGGTAGCTTCCCTTGCTATCATTAAGGCTGAGTAAATTCATTTAGTACCGCTGGACTGAGATTTAGGAACTCCATGCATATGGAGCTTACGCTGTCAATAGTGCGTAAGTTAGTAACCGATGAACACTATAATGAAAAGAAGAAAAAAAAAGCAGGGGGTCACGGAGAGAGGTGACTGTGTTAGTTTGACGTTGACAGGCAATCCGGAAGTGCGATACTGGCTGCGTCAAATGTACTAAATCTTTGTAACCCGTGATGCAGGAAGAAAGCCCGGTACTAACACTGGGTCCTCCTCCTCCTCCTGTAACGAGAAGCCTTGCTTTCTTCAATAATCTTACTTTGTACCTCTTGGGCCTTATAGGACTGGAGGCAGAATCGAAAACTAATGACTGCAGAGATGCTTCAAAACTGGGAATCACCAAGCAAGGGCTTCGAGAAAGCAAAGGTGTGCTCGCTAGATCAACGGCCTCAGTGGGATACATGTTTACTGTCGTCACTGTCCGCCCCGGGTCTCAGGACTCAGAGCGTGGGACAATCAAGCGGTCCCTGGCTCTGAAGTCCCCAAGTGACTGGCCAGGGGCACAGCCCGCCTGCAGCTGAGCCGGGGCGTGCAGCAGGGCCAGGTTGCTCCGCCGACCGGCAGGGGGAGCGCACAGCGGAGCCCAGCCCGCCTCACTCACCTATTGGCTTGTCCAGGCGCATGAGGCGC